AAGGCTGTAAGCTCTGCTCATGTTGTTATGTATAAAGAAAACGGATGCCTCATAAACGTTTTCGGGCTTTGCTTTTCCCACCACGATTCACAGTTAGATAATCTTCTCTATATTTTTACCATAATTTACACTGAGAAAGAGCCATTTGTAATAAACAAAACAATCACTGTCTAACTTCAAAATTAAATTAATCGAGCCGAGAAGAATGAAATAGGGCTTATGCTTCTGATGGTATTTGTCCAAACTGTACGATGATAGTCTTGACACACATTCTCTTCACATTAGAAAACAAAACTAAACAAAAGGAAAAAAAACGTTTTGGGGGCATTAATCTCCCCTGATTAATGTTTAGATCAAAGAAGCGGTGCGAATGAGGAACAGGTTTGGCAGAAAATATCGTCGCTGCCGTACTAAGGAGCTCTGCGCACCAGGCAGAAATGTATGCGACAAACAGTAAAGCGATTCGAACTTACTTTGAGATCCTTTGTTGACCAATTCACCTTTCATGGACAATTGTATGGATACGCTATGTAATTATAAAAGTATTTAATAACATCTGTAACAGATGATAGTCCATTTTATGCAATTTGATTATCCATTTATCCTTTAAATCTTTACACCAAATGGATTAGGATGTCGAGCATTTGTAACACAACACATTTTCTCGCAGTCAAAACTGACTGGAAAGCCAAGAAAACATATTGAGTAATTCAATTGCTTCTCCTAAAGTCTTTTATTGATTCATTTATTGGAACAAGGGCACAGAAAAGTTACTTTTTGGAGTTTGTGATTTTCTGTCACTTTCAGACATCCGACAATGGCCTGTAAAGTTTACATTTCTTTAACTGAAACAAAGGAATAACACTTTCTGCTGAGGCTAATTTTCGCACATCTAGGAAATAGAAAACAGTCAAGACAGGAGCTCTCCTGTTTTTGTATGGGTTGTATATTTCTGTTTTGGACGACCCGTAGCGTTCTTATCGTGACAGATGAATCGCAGACGGCGGCAAGTTATGCAGAAATACAATTTAAGAAATCTCTCCTTGTCTGAACATCACAAAGGGTTGATTCTGACAGAGAGTGATCTATTTTTAGGATAAAATTTGCCACAGCTTTATTTGAAAGTTAAACGAACAGTGATTACAGCTGGAAAATTGAGTGTACCGTCACTTTCACGCCGCAATCAATCAAGTTTCTGCGAGTTCTATGAATTGTTGCGTCGCTTTGTTTGCTTCTTGCCGATGGATTCTTTGAGATATTGATGGTCAACTTTTTCATTTTTCTCAATTAATACCTAGTGCTCCTTAACAATATGTCTGCTTCAACAATTAGCAAAAGTATTCACCAAAGAAATTTATTACGTGCTGCATTTTTTTGGAGCTCCTCCCCTGGCCACCGAAAGCCCTAACAAAGATTCCATCTTTTTTAGTAGCTCCTTGATCTAAGTGTAATTGGTCATAGCTTTCGCAAGAAAAATACGCTTGACACCGAAGAGGGAGTAAGGTGTATGAACGTGGGTGGCTTATCATAATCCTCCATTGTTTCCTTTATTTTCTCCCTCTTTCCCTGCGAAACTTTTAAGGAATATGCCGGCGGCGCATAATTACGTAATAGAAAATCCAATACGCCAAACATAAGTCTCATCTAGACGAGAGCCACGTTTAGCCGAGTAAAAATGTTTGTGAGTCACGTTTCAGCTCATAGTTTCACTTGTCAAAAAGGGAAAACATGCCATCGTAGCCCTAAGCCGCCTTGATGTCGATTATAAACTCTTTCCTTTAAAAGTCGTCTGCACAATTTTTTTTTCTCGCTGCCACGGTGTTGTGATGAACTTTATTCATTCCTCTTTGCTGTTTTCTCACAATCCAAAGCTGTCACTCATAGCTCTTTCTATCAATCTAGAAAATCCCAGTCTCCAGCAGACCGAACAATTCATCAAAGATCTCTGTTATGAAAATGCCCATCTTGACTACGCATGCTTTTCCTATCTGTGATGTTTAGATAACGAAAAATATTTCAGTAAGCGGATGTGGAAAAAGGGGCATTACTTTTCTTGACTTAAACGTTCTCAACTTCATTTTATTTTTGTAAAATGTGTTAAATTTTGACGAGAACAAGAAAGACATTCTAAGGTGTTTGTTCAAATGTGGTGATTCAGATGAAGACGATGGCTTAATTCTCTACTCCTATGGAAATATTTTCAAATTAACAACAGATATAAAGATACGAAATAGAACTTACCAATAAGACTAGTTAATAGTTTGTGTATTTTTCGGTACATATCCAGTGAATGTTTTTGTTATTAATTGTTGAGAGTTTTTTTCTGTAATTTGAACTTTCTGTAGGGGATTAAATTTGGCGAGGATTTTGATTCGCATATCTTTAATTTCGTTTTTTTTTTTTTTACAATTGCGATGAACGCAAAATTACAAGACCTGTGAAATTATGTACCAATGGGATAGATGGAAGTAGGAATGACAGCTTTGGATTTAAAGCAAACAGCACAGAGAAATGAAAAAGGTTTGTGTTGATAGATCCTCATAACACCGCGGAAGTTTGCCCTTTTTGGTAAGGGAAACCATAAATTGAATAGTGACTCGTGAAGAAGAGATACTACACAAGAACTTATAAGCGTCACTCTCATCTTGAAGGAAGAGAGTCAAGTTTGGTGTATTCGAATTTCTATTACGTAATAATGTGCCGCGTATTCGTTACACGATTCGCAATGAAGAGGGAGAAAGAAAAAGCACACATACAGACACAAGATTGATGCTCACAAGATGTTGCTCTCTCTGGCTGGGAGAGGAGCTTAAAAAGAGTGTAGCACGTACACAATTTCTTGGCTGAATCCTAACGTCAATTGTTTAAGAAGACAATATTGCAAGAGAGCATTAAGCCTTTATTGAAACAAAATAAAAATTGCGAATAGAATGAGATCTAAAATAATACAGTAAACAGAGTGACGCAACAACTCGTCAACTTACAAAGGCTCGATTGATTGCTGCCTGAAAGTGATGGTACACTCAACTTTGCCATTTGTAATCACTATCGATTTTAATTTTCATAAAAAGCTGCGACAAATTTTATCCTAAAATAGATCACCCCCAGTCAAAACAATCATTGTGGTGTCCAAACAATGGAAGATTTCTTATTTCATCTGTGACGGTAAGAACGCTATGGGTTGTCCGAAACAAAAATGTATAATGCATCTAAATGGCACACTCAAATATGTTCCAGCTGTAATCAGTGTTCATTTCAATTTTCATCTAAACTGCAGCATATTTTGTCCTAAAATATGCTGCAGTCTGGCATATTCATCTCTGTCAGAATCATGCATTGTGGTGCCCAGACAAAGAAAGACTTCGTAATTAGATTTCATAATTTTCATAACTCGGTCCGTCTGCAGTTCGTCCGTGACTATCAGAACGAGACAAAAATGTACGACGCATCCAAAAGCAGAGAATTAATGAATTATATGGAGCATGTGACCTAACTGTATTCTTGTCTCCAGATGTGCGAGAATTTTGCTCGGCAGAAAGGGTTTTTCCTGTCTTAGGCAAAAATTGGTAAAATTTTACTTGTGGTTGCCACAGGTGTGTAAACCTGACAGACAAGCAGCTATTTAAACCACCTTGCAACTGAACTGGACCAGCCTGTTCCTTCATTTCATCTTAGCAAAAAAAAAAAAAAGAAAAGAAAAAAGAAAGGAAAGAGATGCAGATTAATGCCAAAGCCCAGAAAGAGACCTGTTAGTATATACTAAGGCAGTGGATAACGTTGAAGGCGCGCTCTGACTGGCTACTCAAACTCCGAATACTCTTTCCAATTCACCTCCGAACAACGCGCGAGTTTCCAGCGGTATTCCGGCTTATAACGCTTGTATCGAAGATAGAAAACATCGCTGATTTCGGATGTTATGTGAAGACTTCTAAATACTCTATATGTAATTAGAATTTACCCACGGGTCATTAGAGACTGCAGTGAAACTTATAGTCCTGAACATAAAAGTGAACGTTGTTGTTTGATACGTCGTGAACTTGACTTTAAGTCCCAGTGTTGACGCGGCGAAACACAAAACTTTCGAGCGAATGCCGCCCTTTTTGTGTCGATCCTAACCCGCAAATGTATCTGAGTCCTATTTTTATAGCAGCGCTGTGCCATTCCTTTAAGAATTAAAGTGTTTCTCCTCGTTGTAAACTTCCTCTAGTCGGCTATTATCCATAGGACATGCGAGGCATATCGCACGCGCGTCTTTTCGCACGCGTGTCATATCGCACGTAAAGCGTGACATTTAGCACACTTGTTGAGACAAAGGCTTGAGCATGCCACAAAAAGCTGCCGTTTCAGTCTCTTTCCTGCTCATTAAATATACAAGGCACATCCACGAGATTGGTAACACGCTTAGCGTGCCGTTTCATCGCACGCTTGCCCGTGCAATCACCTTCTTCACTGTTTTCACACTCTCAGTATGTACTAAGACAATAATTTAGCGCAGTTTCGGTGGCTAAAGGGTAGATTCAATGTCCATTACTAGCCTCCTCCTCTGCGGTGAACAGTTGCTATTTATAAGAACAATGGATTTTATATCTAAGAAACCAAACAGTGGTTCTGCACACATTTTATTTGTTAACTTTGAAAAAGATCAGGAAGTTTAGCGTTCTAGACGACATCTGGGCAGTTAATGTTTAGTAGCGAAGCTTGTCGGGGTGAAACCAGTCCAACATATCGCGAATCATCAAGAAACTAAGGTTTATTTATACATGTAACTTTATTAACTTGCATAACATTCCTCTACAACCGCGAGAGCTACGATGCCACATGTGGGGAGCTAGGCAAATGTCCGTCAAAGCCTCCATTTTTCGGGCTTCTTTTTTTGCAATCGCTGAAATTGCAACCCACCTGATAGGATCACTTCTTTCTTTACTCCAGTTTCATCCGCATGTCAAATTGTTATTTTAATATTAGAAATTTTTTATTTAAAGTTGCAGGAACTTTTTAATTACTACGATAAATATATAGATTCTTATTTGGAGAATTTTGCATTAAAACAATCTTGTTAGTCTTGTCCTCATTTATTAAACCGCTTATATCACCCTCCCTGTATGTTTGAGGCTTTGAGAAAATCAGAATGATGGAATGTAAACTACGTTCCACAGAGATATATAAAAAGATGCTGACATATGAATTAATTCTAGGAGAGACTGAAATCAAATTGTATTTATATAAGGTATATGTCGATCTTACTTTACGTAAAAGAACAAAATGGGATTTCTATTTGCTACATTCTTAAATATACAGCTTTGGTTTTCTCCTAAATAATCTCGGCGCCAGCTAAGCGTTTGCTATTTGGATGTTAACCCACTACATTATGCTTTACATGTTTAAGCTATATTACTGATAGGGCTTTAATTCAGCTTCAAACTCAGGCTCCCTGTGGTGTGATTGTCCTTATGTCTCCTTGCATCTAAAGCAATCCTAAGGGAAACAATACACAATACTCAATACGCAATACTCAATAGTTGGTCAATAGAGTTTGTTTAGGCAAAATGATCACAACAGATCAGAGGAGTCATGTAGTTTTTCTAAATTTCCAAAGGATAAATTATCTTAGTTTTGTACCATTGCATTAGTGCCAAAAATTTTACATAGAATTTTTTGGAAAATTTAACGAAAATGACAAACTCAAATTAGCAATGTTTTAAGAAAACAACTTGGTAAAAGCTTTCATCTGGTTTTGCAGTCTATGTAATCGCCATGGTTAAAGTCCTTCAGGCAGGGCGGTTATCCTTGTTTATGCAGCATGAAGGAACCGAGAGTATTGTACCCCGTCGTGAAAGGGTGTAGGCACGATACAGAAACCTCCAGAGAGGCTTTTATGGTGATAATAATGTGAAAGGGAGATAGGAGACTAATAAATACGATAAATAAACAGGTTACGGGTAATCCAAAACATCCAAGAAGACCGTAAGAAATTAACTGTTACGTAAGCACAAGCGTTTTTCTTTCCCCCTCCTCAAAAAGTTCAGATTCCCTAAAATTTCTTTATGAAATACAAGGGGAAAAAAAGAGGGGCCGGGCTTTCACACTCCCCTCCCTAAAACTTCCCTGTACGTCATGTAAAAGATTTGTACATACCTAACGCCGAACGAGTATTGCTCCCAGTCTCCTTGGTGACTTGTTGCGGTTTCTCTGACGTTGCTGAACCTTCAGGCTTGGTATATAACTTTTTTATGGCCTGTTGGACCTAAGAGTTTGATATTGACTGTAATCTGGGGATGAGACTAGAACCTATACCGAGAGATTTGTTACGTCGATATTAAAAAAGCAATGGGAGTGTAACAATTTTCAAGAAGTTAAATTTTTTTCCAGTTTTGACATATGCATATGTTTTGTTATGAAAAAGTTAAGAAGGTAAATGAATGAATAAATAAGTAAATAAATAGCGTACCTGGTCATCGCACACACAGTGAAAGATGAAAAACATGATACCCTGTGGGAAATCAAAACCTCAGTCTAAAAACGTAAATAAGACTACCCTGCGTGGTAGGCACTTGGTAAAAGGACGAGGAAATGATTTGCCAGAAGGTAACCGTGGGAGTGAGATATTAGTTTTTCATTTTAAGGGGAAATGATCCTTCGGAATGCTACCAGCCAGAGAAAAGTTTCTGTTCTCCTGGATCACGAATGAACAAATAGCAGACCTGGTAGACCAGTAGGCCTCTTAACCCTTTTACTCCCAAGGTCTCATTTGCAATTCTCCCTACTGTCTGCCATACAACTCTTACGATGTTAGCTCGGAGAATTTGGTTTTGGATCAACTAATAATCCCCTAATCGATATTTTTCTTTATTCTCATCACTTGTCTGCTTGATACTGTATTGATATTGTAAGGAGAAATTCTGTCTTGGTCACTCACGGGAGTCAAAGGTTCAGACAAATATTCTTTGAGTTTGTACTAAGTATGGTTGTTATAATAATGTAATGCGCTACGTTATTTTGCGCGCGATGTGCCATACGTAACGTGAATGTAGCACACTCTAGATTTTCCACGTGTTACCACTGATATGATACTAAACCTTTCACTATGTGAATACCTGTGTGGAGTTGAGACATAGAAACACGTATCCAAGAACATAGTGGAACTCCACAAAAAAACCCAGTATCCACGTCACACCGAGTAACGGAAGAAGAACAAAAATGCTTTTCGCACTTCGCCTGTAAAATCAATAGGAATCCAAACCAATGAAACCAAACTAAAAAAAGCTAAAAGAAAATCAAAGATACATTGATCGTACTCACGATCAACTTAGTCAGAAGTGATCTCTGTAGATTCAAACTTACTTTGCGACATTGAGACGGTCCTTGCCAAATCTTGCGGAAATTTTCCCAAAAATCACACGCATAAGAATCACAAACATTATCAAGTTTATCTGCAAGTTCAAACGGGATTTTGTTATTGAAAGTTCAAAATGCGCGAAAGAATAACAGCTGGAAAGAGTAGCTACTTTATCCTCTACTGCAACTGGTGAGTACAGGTGAGGAGATGAAGAGAGGTTTCACATGGAAAAACTGGAAGAATACATATGATGTTTTTGCACATGGCAAAACTGGAAAAGAATTTAGCTCATTAAAAATTCTCAAATTGCCATTTATTTTTGAATATCGGCGTAATAAAACTCTCAGAATAGCTTTAACTCTCATCCTCAGCTAACTTTTAGCCTCTTTTTTCCTTGTATTTCATAAAGAAAGTTTAAGGAACCTGAAATTTTCGGGGGGGGGGAGGACGGGGATGGGGAAAACACTTGTGCTTATGTATCAGTTTATCAGTTACTGTCTTCTTTCCTCAGATGTTCACTCGAGAAAAAGATCAGTTAGACTTAAAGCAAAAACATCATATGCATTTAACCCTTTACTCCTTAAGAGTGTTTAGCATCAAGTCTCTCCTTACAGTAACACTCCTGAATAACAACACTACGGATATAAGAATAAAAGAAATGATCCTGCGCCTACTAAAGAAGATCTTGATTTTTAAACAAACTCTCCCTGTTAGTTCCATAAGAAATGTTAAGATAATAGTACAGAGAATATACATACTAAAGTTCAGGCGTAAAGGGTCATCGATTACTGTGACGACATCCGGCCATTTCCCTCCAAATGTAAAATTAGTATCACTTTGCACAAGCATTGCAAATGTTTCCGGCATTTTATTAATAATCCTCTGTTGGTTCAGATTTAAAATTGATCATCTAAGAAATATCCAGGCTATAAAAGTTAGGGGACAACGACGGTGACGAAAATATTAATGAAGATAAAAATGAAACTGAAAGAAAATATGTTCATATCGAAGTAAGACCATATTAAAACTTTCTCTGATTAATAATGTATTTTAGCCGTATTACTATGGAAATACATTTTAAGAGGGAAAACATACATACCACGAGTATGGCCAAGACTGGTCCTTTGTATATCCAGAGACTTCCGTTTAGCCAACACCTGCCAAAATATCATAGTCTGTTTGTCTCGATTTTATGGTCATATGTCTAAGCTTAAGCGGTTTATTTTTTTGATCTGTGCACTTTAAGATATCTAACTTACGTTGTTCGTTCGATCTCAGCTTGAAGGCTTAGTGAGCCACACTGTATGTCCACATACAGAGCACTACCCATGTCAAAGGTACTGGGTCTGACAGCCGCTATCAATCCCACAAGGACTGCTGGGATACCTTGAGGAATACAACAAAGAGAGTCTGGATATAAACGTTTATGTTTATGTTTTCGTTAGGTTGGAGCCTAAGTTTGAGCTCTAGCACGCTGAATTTTTAATGCTTAATATCTTATTAGACGAAATTGAGAATAATTTCAATTTTTTTTCCTTGAAGCAAAAGAACACAGTCAATCAGAATTTAGGAAAGCATTTGTGCGTTCGACATTCATTAAGATGAAGTATGTACGCATTTGGCATTGGCATGAAATATTATAATGATGCAATACTTTCCCGTGGTATGCCGTGGCATGTCTCACCTCACTTGCAAACAATAGTCAGCAGGCTCTCTCTTTGGCTTGGAATATTATAATTATGCAACACTTCCTCGTGATATACCATGAAATATTTAACTTTTCACTTTCATTCCCTTCATGCAGAAATTTTCTCAAGGGCTCTTGTGTCTACTAAGAAAATGCTGGTTAATTATGAGATATTCCATGTCATTAAAAACAGGATCGTTGGATAATGTAATTCAAGAGGTTTCATTTGCTTAGCAATCATGGGTTACGGGCCATTATAACATGCACGCGCATGAAGACAAGTTAAAGCAAAAGTGTTTTTGTACATCGTGACATTCCGTTTATTGTAACAAAATAAAGTTGGGAAGATTTATCTAAATTTTGGGGCGTTTTTAATGAGACAACTATTCCACTCGCGCTTGTTCGATATGACATGATCATAGACGATTCAGTCCTATCGGCCTCGTTGACTGTTTATCATCTCACATCAGACGTGCACTTATGGAATAATAGATATAATAATTGCATAACTGGTATATTTACCCCATCCTATTGCCAAGTAGGTGACATATCGTCTGGGAGTATTGAAAACCACGATAAGCTTGCTGTAAAGATTCATCCCTTCAACAAGCATCCACGTGAACAGCGCAATGTCTAAAAAAAACTGAACGACCGCCACTGTCGAACATAGAGCCTAAAAAAACCACATATATATATATATATATATATATATATATATATATACATACATACAGTTCAAAATGACTGAAATGAAACACGCATGATTCCCTGTAACTCTTCATTTTAGTCATTTTGAACTGTATTTCGCTCTACACTCATGTGTATTGAGCACTTTCCAACAGCATTTGCTACAATTTCCCACAATTATATATATATATATATATATATATATACATACATATATATTTATCGGTGTTTTTCCCTCTTCGAGGGGAATTTCATGTCTGTATAAAAGAAAGGTTGCTAGAAACTTCAGTCCCCATTCCAAAGGAACTGGGCAAAAACCATTCCCGACATGGAAACAAGTAGCACTTAACTTATCCTTCAAACTTGCTCATTGTTTTGATCTGGAATCAATAAACGATCCATAGTTTTACAAATGAGAAAAATGCAGAAATACAGCAAATCTTTGACAATCCCTCGTTGATGGTCAACAAAGTGTTCCTGTCTACAAAGGATGTCATACTTGTGATGACTGCCATGTATTGTACTTACCGAGTGTTCGTTTCGTGTAACAAATAGAGTTTTGTCCAGAACAAAAACAAGATTTCCAAGCCCAAGTGAAAGGAGGAGATTTTTGTGGATGAAAATTTTCTCAGTGGTCCTTATCCTATTAAAGAAGAAAGCATCAGTGAAATTGTGAATTGTGGTTGGAGTTGTGGCCACCCTGTTTTAAAAGGTCAACTGAAAAAATATCGAAGTTGCTGAGCACATTTGGAACTTACCTCAGATATGTAAGAAGTACGAGTGCAAGAACCACCGCTACCATAGAAATGCACATGAGCACTAACTCCATGCGACTTTGAATTTCGTAGTGCTTTATGATTTCTTTTGAAGTAGGTGGAGTATAGGTAAAAATCATCTTTTCCTAGAAGTAATTGGGTAAATAATAGACAAAAAACTGGATCAATTCTATTACTTGGGTTAGTATTTCATAGAAGGACTGTACCTAGCAGATACATTGAATGGCATCCCATAAAACGACGGCAAAGGAGACCAATAAACTTAAGGTTCTAGAAAAAGATCTTGTTACCAACTTTTGAAGAAAAATAATTTTTTTGACCAGCAATGGAAATCAAGCAAAGATATGATCCTTGCAGGTGGACCACAACTCAAGTGATTGCAGAACAGAACCCTAAAAAATCCAATTTAAGAACTCGGGTTCATATCTCCTGGTTGTTGATGAGGGCTCAGCCGAAATTGAGAGAAGGCAATAAAAGGCTAGATGAAATAAACTATTTATCTAAATATCATTCTACTGTCTTTTTAAAAAATTAACCACAGGAAAGGCTTCTGTTTATAGTGTTTTCTTCTCTTTATTTCTCCAGTCACACAATGTTATGCTACTCCCTTTGCTCGCCGTCTTTGACAGAATAGATAAGGAGTAAAGTAGCCAATCAGATTTCAGATAAATAAAGGGGTAAGTTTCTAAAGAAACTATGGTGCTGCGTCGGTGGGAGAGTATAACAGGGTAATTTAGTATTATCATCTGAGTTGATAACGTGAATTGGCCGCCGTCAAGAGTTTCAAAGCTGACGTTTCGAGCGTTAGCTCTTCGTCAGAGCACTACTATCTCTAAATTATCCACATTTCAGATAGTTTTGAATTTTGCTCGTAATTGATAACAGAGGGGATAGCACACGTTTTCTAGACAATTCAAGGAGTAAAATAAAGGAAAATCATTTCAATCCTTAATTAAATTCTCCTCTGAGTTGAACATTTTCTTCGTGTTACCTCATGAAATGTCACTGCAGAGCAATTTTCTATCCCCGTTTCCTCCCTTGCTTGGCCCGTTACGTCACTATTCTGAAGGGTAAGGCAAAATTTGAAGTAACAATGCCAAGTTGACATGTGATTTACATCTGAATTGTTTGTCAACTTCTTGTTCAATGAACTCAGTTGAACGGAGTTAAGAGTGGTTGGCAATGTAAAGCTCGCCCATCGAGTCTAAAATTGTACACCTACAATTTCAAAGGACCCACAACTTATTTTATACACTGGAAAACGGAACAGTTGATGCGTCAGTTGGTGTTTCTCCGCAGCCGTGGCCTTTCAACCTTAAAGGCCTTAGCTAGTGGAGAGGATAAGGGAGCAACTCCCCTCCTCATCCCTGCAAAGAATTCAAGAAAATGATTTAAAACGCCATTCCCAGTCCTCTTTTTTGAGGACCAGGAAGATAATTTAAGCTCACTAACATTGACAGTTGATACTTTGTGTAACCAATTTGCTCGTCTTTGCAAAACAGCAAACGAAAGAAAAGTAAACTTTCAAGGACAACAGTCTATTTGCAGTTCTCTATTAATTTCCGCGTGATTGGCAAGCTCCACACCTTCTTGATTTAAAATATGCTGAGCAAACTCCCCCCCGCCCTGCGGTCTTGCTCTCACATTTAGAACAGTACTAGTTTTTGTTTTTTTATTACGTAGTATATTGAAGTTCGTGCCTAGGATGTTGACACCATCAGCTAACTCAGGACCACCACAAATCTTTGATTAAGAATTGAAAACGTTCCGGATAGATTTCTTTCCATCTGCCTTGCACGTTTTACATGGGATTGACGAAAACGTTTCTAGAATTTGTGAAGCTTGAGTTCAATCGGCTCGAGCTATTCCGGGGACCCTCCATCTAGATTACTTACCCCACGCCTGTTCGTTATGTTTGATGTATCTGAACTCGCGGCATTTTCTTGTTTGGTGTTGTTGTTAATGTTACCGATTTTCTGATCAGGATTATCAACGTTCGTGCCAGCTGGTAGTATTGGTGACACTTTCACCCTAAAATCCGGTTTCAGTCTCCGGATGACTGGGATGGATGGGTCAAACTTTAATCTCGCTATATTATCAAGTTTCGGTTTCCTGAAAAATATGAAAAAAAAAAGAAAAGAATTGGTACAATTTCCAATGCTTAAGTAATTTTTTTCTGAAACACATGAACAATCATTTTGAGTCATTCTGGAACTTATCAAAAGGGCAATCTATTTAACCAAATGAATTCTATGTTGTTATTCGTCTGTTTACTGTATAGACTCAGACGACGACAATATATAGTAATTACAAAAAAAATAGCACATTGATAGCACATTGATCTATTACTGTACAGACGCACGGCACCATGGAATCAATCTATTCTATATGATATAAAAAAGCAAGATATTGCTAACGATGACGTCATCTATGCGTCTGTCCTCCAGTAAGGGGAAAAAATATCAATATGCGTGTAAAATTGAACTTATCATATAATTTAAGCAAATCTATACCCGTTTTAATACCTCTCCCATCTCCACTAGTGCGACTTTCTGATTACAGGCTCATAACATGTAAAAACCCTACTACTGACCCCGTCATGAGGTATCCCGGACTATTCACTTATCAACTGAGTGGAAGGGCCTTACGGGAAAATATTTTGCTCGAGGTCATGAACTGGACCGAGCGCAGGACGGTCTCCTTTTGTCTTACATACACGGCTGTGCGGGTCATATGATAATATAGCTTCTCCTACTTTCATTTTATCTCAATGGAACTTACGTCCACGGAACAGACAGAGCAAGAAGGAACCTGAACAATCAGTTTAACGGAATGATTTGCCTTACTCTTTAACAAGATCAAATGGCTCTCTTGATCCAAACTGATACGCTGTCGTATTTCGCGGTGCCTGACGTAGAAACTCAAGTGCTTTCTTTATCAGTCTGTTTCTAATTTCATAACCCTAAAAGAAAAAAATTAAAAAGAGCGCTTTAGTAGAGTTTTATCTTTTCGCATCTTGTGTTACCGCCTCAGCCTAGGCTATAGTGGTAGACTCCACTCAATTCGCCATACGCTTCTCTTTGCCCCTAAAACTGCTGGACCAAAAATAATGGGGAGAAATGGCTTTGTACTGCAATCACGAGAGAAACCTCAAAAATAACCTCATGGAGTCCTTTTTACTTCAAGGAGCCACTTAATTTTTAATTATAAGTTCTTTTTTTGTCCTTTTCTCCGTCTCTGTTCCTATTTTATCGTTTTCTTCCAGCCCCTTTTCTCTTCCATCGCTTCTTTTCTTTATTTTCTTTCTTATTTGTTTGTTTTTCTTATATATATACGTACCATTTACCACATCTTGTATACCGGATGGTAGTAAAGAAATGATTACCAGCTTACCTTTACAAGCCGACAAAATACTGGAACTTGATCGTAAACAGGAGAGTATAAAACAGCGTTGATAATCAGCTGTAACCATAGGGACAAAAAGAAAGTTGTTAGGCTTCCCCAGTAGCTGTTGTTTAATCAGGTCACGCAACGCATTCTCCCTCGTTACCACTAGTTGATCTGGAATGACACGTTGTGTGACAGGACCAAACAACGCCTGTGAATGAGGCTTTAAAAGGTGAATGATTTATTGTATGTTGTCATTTTTAAGATATCTAAAATTTAAACGCTATTATTTATCAAAAGCCTCAGTTGTCAAAAATACACTGATTTGAAGACTGACAGTAACAAAGCGGCACGAATATTCAATAGCGAGCTGAGAAGATCTCTTAGAATATTTCTCATCAGTCGGAAGTAAAAGCACCTACTACTTGTGTCGAGCAAGTGTTAATTGAGCTTTGAAAGTAATGTATGGTTGCATTGGTTTTGCCTTAATTCGCTATGTTATTTCAACCAATCAGATTCAAAACTAAGACCAAGCGCGGCTTAGTCACTCGCGTTTTCCCGCGTTTCCCGTGGGCTCCTTGTGATATTTTCCTTCCCTCTGATTGGCTGCTGTGACTACTTTGGTTTAATACAAACAACAAGAGAGCTTAAGAGTCGAACTTCCTCAATACCTCCCCTCTCAGAAAAAAAGTTACATTACCTGCTGTCAAAAATACATTTCGGGTCTTTTCAATGACTCGGGTAAAGAAAATAAAGAAATATTTTGGCGATGTTGCATCAAATTCAAAGTTCAGTGATCTTCATTTGAACTGGTTTCGTCTCCATTTATGTCACTGTAACTCGCCGCTGTGTATTGTAGATTTTCAAAGTTTTAACCGTTTGCATTTTTACCTGGCAATACTGGAGGGCTAAATCAGCATTTTCTTGGGTGAGTGGCGTAACTAATTTTGTTGCACTGTGGAATAAGTCTTTGAGGTGATCATGGAAAACTTTAGAGTTTGTGTAATTTCCTTCTTCTGCAAACTGGATCACCTCTTTTAAAACTGCTGTAAAATTGGTTTCGTTGGCACTAGACATCTAAAACGAGGACAGGAATAGCGCCTGATTAACAGAAATACACAACAAAAGAGCACCATGCACAATCAAAGCTAACTTATCTGAATCTCTGTTGGATTATTAGTCGTTACTCCAGTTGTCTATTTCAAGCCAGGAAAATGGTTACAATAGAAGAATTCGATGGCTGCACATTAAATTTCGCGAAAAAATGATGCAAAACAAACGAGAACCTCGTCTTCCTTAGTAACTAATTATAAAAATCCGGTCAAGAGTAAGTCAAAGATGGAAACTTTTTTTCGGTATATTTTGCTTGCTGTATGCAGGCAATTTACCAGTCAGCCTCGATTGGATGAACTCGAGGTTGTACCATATTGGATCTGTGTCTTGGTTTTTCGAAGTCCCAGTTACTTAACGGCCCTGTAAAACTGTTCTGTTTTCATTCAAGATGGGAGTCTCAAAAGTTTTGCGAATTATACAATAAAACGATCAGCTAAAGAAACAAATTGGGCTGGTTAGGGTGCTAGAACCTGCTTCTCTATTCTTTTAAATTTTATTTCAAAATATGGCTTCGGGCCCGTTTAGTTACCGGGATATTCAAGGAACGGGCCCGGCCTGGGCCATTAATAAAGGCCTTTAAAGAAGTTTTGCGCTTAAGGAAGGTCACAGAATTGTCAAAACATAGGGCGGTTAAATGAATTGGTTTAGAGGAGGACTACCTCTTATCATCCAAGTTCCCCTCATGATATATTCTTCAAGATATGACTAGAGCTACGCTTTGCTTCTCAAAAATTTGGTTGACCGTCGGAAATCATGCCGATGGTCTCTATATTTATTTAAAGAAGGTGTCTTAAGGTACAATCAAACATAATTTTGAACAAAGGCAGAATTCCTTGTCCACCCATTTGAAGCCTTGATTGGGAAATATAATTTGTAGCCATGTATTTTTTAGGATGCAGAGTGAATTTTATGAATAACAAGACTTCTCTCACTCCTTAGCGCCTTATACATTTAGTGAGTAGCCAGAAAGAGCTATGAAGTCGAAACTATAGAATAATTTATAGGTGTGGATTTATCAAACTCACCTTGTGCTGTAAGACCTCCGTTAAAGCTTTCTTCTCACATTCGCAACTTTTCCATGTCAAATTGGTCACATATGAATCTCTGAAACATTTATGGCTGAAAGAACCTGAAACCAGATAGGTTTGACTTATGACCAGAATAATCTGCAGTTATTTCGTACTTAGTTACAGTCTTCAGGCATTTGTCTCTTTTGAGCCGTGTAATTTCCATGAGAAAAAGATTTTCCATGAGAATACTAACAATAACTGTATAATTAGATAAAGGCAATTGCCATTTATCATCTGTGCATAATTTGAAGAAATGTGGTTTATGCAGTTTGGTTAAGTGGTATAAGAGGAGGTTTCTTCCTTTACTTACCCCCTCTCCCTCCTCTCCGTCCCCCTCCTCACCCTCCTCTCCTTGCTGTGGCTTTTAGTGAACAGTGACGTCACCGTCCTTTATATAGATTTTTAAATTACCTGATTATATAGATTTTTAAATTATCCCTCTCTCGGTATGCTACTCACAATGATCACAATTCCACTCGCCTGATTGGTCATCACAACTAGCCTCTTTATTGCATCTGTCACCAAACGGTCTGATCTTGTCACCACTTGCACACAAGAAGAGCTTGTCTTTAGATATTGAGGACAGATTCCTTAATTCTGGAGAGATATGATATTTCTCAGAGAAAGACTTCCTGTTAAAATATACTTTAGAAGTTCAAACAAGAAAGGACACGATTAGTTCGTTTATAGCGTTCTTTCTCTGTACCACATGGACTCGACGGACACCAACCTGATATAGCACCAGTGCAGTCAACTAGACCAGCTTCCACATAGCATCCAGGTCTCACTTTTTCAGATGCAGAGCTACAATAAAAATCCACGCCGTTTTCTTTCCAGCGATCACCATCGTAATAGAGCTTACCATTCCAGGAACAAGCTTTAAATATATTTAAAATCGTTTCATTTTTGAGATAAATAAATAAATTATTTAAATTAGTTATAGTTCGGGAATGAGTATGACTTGAAGTACAGAACCTTTCACGTGAACCGCACATTAGACGCGCTTGACGCGCATGCAAAACCCATGCACTGCACGCGCGCAACACGCAAACTGCGAATCACCACACACATTGCGTGTAAAAGAAAATGCTCTTGTAGAATTATAAATTTTTTTGGTTGTTGCACACAGAAATAAAATTATTTATTGACCTCCTATTCAAAAGCTTCTTTTTTTGCCACTCCAAATGATATTAGTTTCGATATAGTGAGCGATATTTGTACACGCCGTGTATTCGAATCAAAGAACTCAGTTTAATCTCTATCAAGTTTTGAAATACATCAGTCTCTCCCCAAAGGGAAACAAGATGAAGTTAGATCCGTACAGAAATTTATAAAACGTTGAGGTATTAGTTCTCTTTAACCTTTGCCAAATTTATAGCCAAATGGTCTGAAATGTAATGTTCATTTGATCACACTGATACACACGTTAGTTTGCGCAATATAAGCCCCAGTTTATTATTATCATTACTATGATTATTATTATCGTTTTGAGTTGAAAAATTAAGCAAGTGCACTTAGTTCTTCCTAACGTTATAAGACAAAACAAGTGACTCCTGACGAGCTCTTGATATTGATGGAATGCATTTGTACACTTGACACGTATATACTAAATATATTTCATTTGAATAACCATAGTTTCCTTCGTGAACTCACCTGAGCACACTCTGTGCTTCTTTTTCATAAATTCCGCCACATTGCACTCTCTTTGGTTGCAGTTGTCGGTTTTTATGTACTTTAGAACATCTTTGTATCCAAATTTCGAAAAAAGTACCAGCCGTAGTTTCCTTAAGCAATGAATTTTCCCTTGATTGCACGCGCACTGCATACAGTCACCGACACGCCATGTTGAGCCTTCAAAGTAATGGTTTAAGTCTTCATCCCGACAAGTAACATCTGATACAGAAAGAGAGAGCACAAATTCAGGTTTTGCGCCGAAATAATCATAATTTCTTAACTGAGAAAATGGAAATAAAGATGCAAGGCCTGTTTTTCCCGTCCCTATGACATTTTTGTAGTAACTTTAGTGGTTTTACATGTTTCCTTAAGGGTTCTCCTCCAAAATCATAGCACGTACAAGAACTTCTTTTTCCCCCCGCAAGCAGAACTTCTTGCGGCTAACCGTGTTTTATTTGCATTTGAGTCCTAGAGGCCGCAAGGACTTCAATGCAGTACCGTTGAATTTATAACGACTCTATAGCTTCTTGGAGGTTTGATGTCAAAAGGCAAAAAGTTCCTGGCGGCTTTTTGCGGTAAAAAAATCAAAAGCATACTTGAGATGAAAACAGAGAGGTGAAGCTCTCCTAAGTGAAAGGCACAGGCCAGTTACAACTGCTAAAAAGATGTGGAGGAATATCGTTTTCTTGAGTCAAGTAATAATACAAAACGAACCTACAAAATAAGAAAAGAGTTTACCTGATGAACAATTTTTGAGGTCAAAATTTCGTGAACAAAAACTGTCAGCTGATGTTAGCTGGCGACCATTGGGACATAGAGTAGGATTCCCTCTGATGTGATTTGCAATTTCTTGAAGACCTAAAGAAAATACAATCACAGATTCAACTTTATAGACACACCACTATAACAGAATCTTGAATCTTCCTAAAAGTGCGGAAATTTGTGAGGTAGTTTTTCAAATCTTGGGAAAGAAATGAAAATAAAGGAAAAATAACCTGAATATCGAGACGAAGATGAACTCACGTTTTTTAAAGCTAAAAAAAGTGCTCATTTGCTGCATTCGATCGTTTTAAGGGAGTTTGATTTTCAAGAAGAACTATACCAAAAAAAATCACGACCTTTGGAAATGTCCTTCCGCTTTTTGAAGTTGGCACTAGGCTAATTAATTTGTATTTAACAGATGGTAAGTCTTTGTTTTTTTTTGTCTCTGTGTTAACAAAGTTTACGTAATTGATTTAAATCATTATACCACTACCGAGAGGTTGTAAACTGATGAAATTCGTTCGTGTATAAATTAATTCTTGGTATAAATGAATTCACAAATGAATTGCAGTCTGGGTTAGAGTCTCCTTAACATCGTATCCCAGGCTTTGACATCAAAGTGCCATAAATTACCTGGACAATGCTTAGCACAGCAGATTTTTCCATTGTAAACATAACAGATGGGTCTGCTCATTGGTGGACATACATCTAGCGTGCCGATAACCCCAGGGAAGTAGAAGGAACAATTACCATGTCGCCAACTTTGACCTTTGAACGCTATTCCAGCGTTCTCTATCAGTTCAACACCTGATGAGAAAACAGCGGGAAACAAAGCCAAAAAAATTACCTAATTAGAACAAGCGTGGTTACGAATGGATAGGATGGACACAGATTATGAATGGGAAACTTACGACTGTAAGGCTGCATTTTTCAAGAGGTACCTGAGATCATTGCGTAAGATTAAAGATGAACGGTTGAATATGTTTACCTTTGCATTCGTCTTTTTTGCTTAAAAACTTCTTAATCTTGCATGAAGGCTGTGTGCAAATCTCTTCGTGGACATAGAAATCAGTAAAGTAGCCAGGAAAGTTAATTTCTAATCTCTTTCGACACTCCAGCATTCCTTTCCTGCATTGGCAGAGAAGACAACTCGACGCTTGCCAACCTTCATCACTTTTTATAACGTACGTATCTCCTTCTTCGTCTTTGCAAAGGACTGAAAAAGACCAAAACGAAAATCAAATTACTTTCAAACGATGCAGATTGGTTCCCCACCCCTCCCCTACCAGAGATTACCTCTGCTATCATAGTTAGTCTAGGCAGAGTAAGATAAACACTAGACTCGGGGAAGAGGGATGGGAGAAAACTACTTGGAATTCTTGATCAGTGCCGATCGTCCGGTTTTACTGGCCTCATTTCGGACCAAAACACGCCACACCCGTTCTCAGACCTGCTTTCTCAAAGTTGTACTAGTTTCCGCATCAATTAAGTTCACTTTTTAACCGGTCAAAAATCACTAAAATTCATCGACACTTAAAAAAAAAAAAAGAGATACACTTATGTTATTTCCCTTTCTCTATTTTTCTCGCAGTTCCATTAAAAACCGTCTATACCTGTTTCCAGACCAAAACAGCTCAAAACCTTACCCTTCGGGGCTGTACTCGCCTGTATGGCTCATACAGAGTGGGTACTCCCCCCCCCACTTCATACCTTGCCAGGGACCCTCAGATAATACCATTCTAAAAGAAAGAGCGCATGAGCTCCAAAAACGATATTCTGCTGAAACGCATCGAGAATTTCTGACGAACAAAATTTTAGACTTTTTGTAATTTTTTTTTGTTTTTACTACACACCCGTTTCAGACTCTTTTTATATTTCTTGTGTCATCCAAATTCAATCATAATGATCTGTAGAGAGTTTGCTAATCAACTCTGATGTTTTCTCTTTGTTTCCAAAATACAATGACAACAAAGTGTAATTTTTGCCCAGTAAGTGGTTAACTCTTTAAAGAGTAATGCAAAATGTCAGTTTAAGCCCTTAAAGCTCAATACCATTGTCACAGCCAGTTTCATCTGATGCATCTGGGCATTCATGTATTCCATTGCAGCGATGAGTATCACGAATAAAAATGTTTCCTTCTTTACACTTGAACAAATTCCCTCTCTGATAGGCTGAAATTAAGAATGTGAACACAGAAAAAAATATTAGAGTAGTATCGCTTTCTGTTTTGACCGAAATAAAAACAATTATCTACAAAACAAATGGGATAGGTTTTTTGTGTGTGTGTCCTTTGCCCCGTGAAGGATCGCGGCGTTTCAACCGTTCAATCGAGGAATATAGTACACTGGTTAAGCTCCATCATCTGAAGACTTATGTTGCTCTGGGATTGGTTGGTTTCTCAACAGTAACGCATGATTAGTTCTCTACTGCTTTGCAGAGTTTTCTCTCTCGCGAGCCTCTACCCACTCCTCCTTGTTCTCGTGTTGTTTGGTCATGGTCTTCCGTGCTTCTAGAATTAATAGCCGTGCGGTCCCTCTTGCGGTGCGAATCACAATCAATAACCCCTTACTTCACTCCAAAGTGAGTAGAGTTCGATGTTGTAGGTCCTATAGCTGTACTTTTAAACCGAGATGATTTAGATACGCCCGACCGATTAAGACAAGTAGAGTATGCATTTGGAACGATGTGACCCATATAAGAAGTGACTAAATCGTTAAGTTACTGTTTTGATATTTCAAGGTCTTACGGCAGCCAGTGATTTATCGCCTATGGATGGTGGTGGTGGTGGGGGGAGTTTTGGAGCCTTTTGGGAGGATCACATAATTTTCAGGAGAAACAGAGCTGGGGTGAGACCATTCGTCGTTAATAGATTATAAAGGGGACTTCATCTAAACATTTTCGTACCTTCACAAGCGGTAAGGGCCTTTTGTGTGATGGACGAAGTGCTGCATCGTTCACAAGTCGAAGATGTCTTGACAGTAAACATTCCATATGCGATACTGATATTATATACAGTGCAGCTAATATTACCATTGCTACAAGAACATGTTACACAGGAATTGTTCATCCAAATTTCAGAATTGCTTCGTAAAATTCCCTTCATATCCATACATACTGGTTCGTTTAGTTTGAAACACGTTACTGAATTATTGCTGCTGCAGTTGCAAAATCGTTTGGGGTTTTCTAACCATCCATCGTTATTTCGCTGACAGGATCGTGAAGAGGCTGTGAGATGTAGAAAGAAAAATAACGTAAGCCCTACGAACCGTAACCCCGAATTGAATACCATTCAGTCTGTTAGTTATCAAAAAAAATATATTCATCAATGACCGCTCAATTCTTAACCATCGATATTTTACTAAGAACCGATAAAGAAGGGAAACAGTAATTATTTAACAAGACAGGGAATACAGTGATACAGTGCTGTAAAGTACGCGATGTTGAAACTTCAAGCATACTAAGTTAAGCAATGTTGTCAACGTGACATTTGGCACATTCTGCTAGTGCCTTCGTCACAAATCAACTCATCTGGATATCACTCAATCAAGGGGCGAACTCGACTTGATGGGGTCGAACTCGAAAAGTGTGGGGGCGAACACGGCATAAGGTAGGGGCGAACTCGAAGGGGCGAACTCGATAGGGGGCGAACGCGGTGCAATTCCTTGAATCGAGTCGGTTCCCCTTCGAGATACAAAATGAATTTCTACCTAAATTTTCATACAGTCCAAGCTAAGATCTGGGAAAGTAAAAACAAGATTAATAATATGGAAATTGTCAGGAACCTAATTCAGCTTATTAGGAATGTTGCAAAGAAATAGGGTTTAAAGACTGTCGCATAACAAGAGGATAATTAAAAAATTTTTGGAGAAGAAAGTGTTAACCGTGACTACTGCCTTTTTTCATAAATTAACAAGCTACGTGCTCTTCGAACAAATTTACTAATTATGTAATTTAGTCCTGCAGACAAAAAGCAGACATTGTTTACAGGTGCAACCACCTTGGAAGAGAAAGGCATGAACTGTAATAAAACTAAAAACAAAGTAGATCTTTCCTTATTGTGAATTCAGCATAGGATTCACCCGTAAGAAGAGTTAAGAGGGAGCGGAAACAAGAAGGGTAATTTCCTGTACAGAAATCCGCTTTTAGTTTATCTATTTGTAAACATATTAACATTATTTCAATAAACGTAATGGGAGAGTAAATAATAATTGGAGCATGCTTTCGAAAAGAGCCAGTCACCACGGAGACCAAACACCTGTTTCCACGCCGAATTCATCCACGATAAGAGAAGGCGTTTTTTTTTTATTTTTATTTTTATTTTTTTTATTTTTATCAAAACTTAAGCTAATAGCTAGTTTCACGCAGCATTGTGATCAGTGTTAGGTGGTTATATCATGAGAGAGTAGGTTAATGAGTTAACGAATGATTTAGGTAAATTTCCCTTTGATTCCCATATAATTAACTGATATTTTTTCTAATTCACCAGTATTTGTACGGAGAGAAATTTGAATATAGTTGGCTCCATTATTTTTGTATCCGCGATCTTTGCTTAAGAGTCAGAAAGTCCAATGAAGATATTTTTTGTTGTTTGTTGAATTAGTAGTTACCGCTTTTTTTTGAGGAGAGAGCTGACAACTCTGAATGACTCGCTTTGCGCCGGAGAAATTTTTATGCAAATTAGTGGGCTGCACATTAAAAATAACCCTCAGGTATACACTACTCAAGAGGGTATAGGAGAGATTAAAAGTAACCCTCGGGTATAAACTACCCAAGAGGGTATAGAAGAGATCAAAAGTAACGCTCAGGTATACACTGCTCAGGAGGGTATAGAAGAGATTAAAAATAACCCTCAAGTATGCACTACCCAAGAGGGTATGGGAGAGACGCACCCCAAACTTAGCAACTCAGTCACGCCAAGTTCCCAAACTGAAAATTACGTGAAAATATTCGGTCATAAGACGTACCAAAAGGTTGAGAGTTAACAAAAGGATTTGATGGAACTTACAACAATTATTGCTACACAACTGGCATGCGAACTCTTTTGTTAACGTAAATAAAAGTGAAAAAGTCTCACATTTAATGATCTGCGAAAAAAATCAAGGCTAAAAATTTCACACCTGTAATGTGAACTATAAAACGCATACTCGTTTATTTCAGCCTTCCTGTTTAGGAAACATGCTTCTATTTACAAAATTAAATAATAAATATTCAATGATCCGATCTCGTTCTAATAACATCAACCGAATGATTTAAAACTCCGTCGCAAAACTAACTGATATGCTCTCATCGTAAACAGTCAGAGTTTACCTTCAACTTCTTGTTCAATCGCAAATATGCTAAGCACTCGCCGTCACACGTATGACCTCAACGTTAAGTTGAACACCGTTGCCGAAGCCAAGGCAGTCAATGACGATCGTGAAATTGCCCGTGAATACGGCATTTCAGAATCCTGGTGAGAAAAAGGCGCAACCGGCAACATTTTCTGTTTCCTGGTGAGCTGCGGATGACAACAAATTGTACATCCATCCGAAGGGCCCTCGTTGGATATCATGTTACCGAGCACTTGCTGTTAAGCACGTATGCAAATGTACGTTTGTTTGCTTTTCAATAGAAGTGTTTTAAAAGCAGTATTCCTTTTTAACTCATAGGAATAAAGGATTGAATTTGACGTAATCTTCGCTACACCTCAGACCAAAAAGCTCTGCTTTTTCTCCTTTTTCTGTCAACAACAAGTGTTTCCCTTTTTAACTGTAAGTTCTGCTAAAATTGCGATCTTAAGATTTTGTTGCGCAAAAATACTTGGCTATAAGACGCACCCAAATTTCAACACTAACTTTACAACTGAAGACAGAATTTTCTTGAAAAAACTGTGCGCCTTACAATCGAGAAACTACGTAATTGATATTAGGAGACCGCCCTTTGTCTGGACTCTTGAGTAAAAGATGAGGCATCCCCAGTTTACTTATATAATCATCATCCTTCACTAGGTCCCGAATGTCGTTGTCGAGCTCGATCGGCTACTCTTGACCAACACCTTTGCAATTTCCCATGATTATTCGACTAGAGGCATTTCCCGCCTAAAGTGAATGGTCGAGAGCAATTTGATTTTACTGCATCAACAACAGGAATATATTTTTAGACCTCACGAATCCATCTGCTGGAAATTCCTGCCGTCTAATTAGTCCAACATAGTGACCAAATGGACATACATCTCACACAGGTTGTTTAATTACCCGGTATTGAACGAACAGCCTTTGTTGGTGCGCCTTAAGTAACCAGGTTTAAGGGTTTAAGTAACCGCATAGACACCTACCGAATGCAAGCGTTAATGTAATTCTGTAAATTGATGACAGAAATGATAGCCCCTCTGTAGAATGCTTGCTGCGAATTTTTTTCGGGGCCAAAGCTCCTCATGGCAGCAAGGATGGTACTAGCTACGGCTTCAAAACCTATTGTCACAAATAAATATATCGCCCGCGGAAAGTTTAGGACTGATTTTCTTAAAGCAAATAACCAGCTGAAAACGCCGTCATTGTCACACAAACTGCTGAGTAGCTTAAAAATTTGCCATTTTTTTTATTTTTTCTCGAATTTTTTTAGTAGTCCTCGATATTCAGATTGCACTCTTGCAAAAAATCCATCTTGCAAATTGAACGCGATATATGCCCGGCAGCCAAGCTATTTTCATATAATTTCTATTGAGAAGTCCTTTTAAACTGCCTGAGAGTATCAGATGTTGTTTGGAAATTTAAAGCGATTCCGAAACTTTAAAAAAAAATCGTTTTCTATAATGTCGTATGCTTATGTTACATGCCAACAAACTCAAATATTGCTTCTTTTTACAAAAACGTTAGTGCATTAAGGTATGTACCTCTCGTCCGGAAAAAAATGGCAAAGGCAATGATTCCAAAGAGATATGTAACTTTCCTCTCCATTCAGCCGCTTTCTTCGCCTGGAAATCTGTATTTTTAACGACAAGAAGGTTTCTTTGAAAATGATAAAATTTAAAGGAGGTAAGTTTCTAAAGAAACTGTGGCGCTGCGTCGGTGGGAGAGAATCACAGAGTAGTGCTATCAACTGAGTTTATAACGTAAATTGGCCACCGTAAAGAGTTTTAAAGGCTGAAGTTTCGAGCGCTAGCCCTTCGCCAGAGCAATTGGAGGAACTATGGGTTGTGTGTCGGTTTATATGCAGAAAATGAAGCTACGCTATTGGTGGGAATACGGTGACGAGAAAACAAGAATAAATTAGTTGAATGAAAAGCGTTCGTTAATACTGTTTCTGTTTCATCAATATATAACTTTTTTGTAATAAGTGCAAGTTATGCAGTAAATGACATTGGTGGAGGTGCACGTAAAGTAATCAGTGATCTTAATGGATCTCTTGGATCCCAATATTTTCTCTACGTTTTGAATGAAAGGACAAGTTTTGCATCGTGAGCAAGCGCATTTGAAAGTTCCAGGTTGGTCATTGGTTTGAAATGAACTTTTGACCAAAATAAAAGGTTGCCTATGTTTTTTTCACGTTTGGATGAAATTTGTGGAGGTTGCGAAAAGGCAGTACCAGTCTCTGAATCGTTGTGGAGTAATTGAAAGTTTTTAAGAATGATAGATTTAACTGCGTGGTTGCGAGGGTGAAATGTGAGAGTGAATAAAATGCGATAAGTGTTTTCCTTCTTAGCCGTTTGTAGTGCTGACTGTTGATCAATTTGTTGGGCACGGTGGTAGCCCACTTGAACGACAGAAACAGGGTAGCCACGTATATCGAAAAACTGGCTCATTGCCTCTGATTTTTCGGGAAAATCAGAGTCGTCACTACATAAACGAAGTCTGAGAAACTGTGAAAAAGATATGGAAACCTTGACTAGTGATGGATGCGACGACGAATACAACAAGTAACTACGTGAATATGTAGGTTTGTAGTAAACACTACTGCATAGACCGTTGCCTTCAGTTGAAATTTTGATATCTAGAAGAGCAAAAGAAGTGTCGGAAATGTAAAAAGTAGTCAGCTCTACAGTCAGGCACTTGGAGCATTACAAAGGTTTTTTTTTTAGCCAAAATGCCCCAAAAGGCATCGTCTCGAAAATTTTCTCTCACTACCTTTTTTTTTCCCTTTTGTTTCTTGTTTTTTTTTCCGCTTAGATTCTACGTGATGTCATAAACATTTTTTGCTGCTTAGCTTGTACGCAGTGTTTGCTTCCTCACTTCGGCTTTACCAACACAAAACTGAGAAGGATGCAATTAGCAATTTCTCATCCTATACTCTGCGCCATCGACGCATGTATTTTCATTTTAATTAATGGCGTTATTGTCGGCATTAGAATTATTCAGATAAACAACATCAAACGCCGTGAAAAGTTATTGTTATATTAGTTTTTTTGTCACGTCGAGGGAAATTTATCGAAAATATACTATTTTCGACTTCTTACATTCTCAGGAAGCAAATAATTTCCTTTAAGATGTATTTAATTTATTTACATTTCAAGGTTACTGTCGACGGTTGCAAAATAGGGTGCCTTTCGAAAAAATTTTTCTGCACGCGCTACTAAAAAAAATTGGAAATATGGAGGCCTGCTCTGGTCAGAATTCTAGAGATAAAAATGACCCTGAAGACAGTATTTCAAACTGACATATTTCAATTTTTGATGGATTGTTTTGTACTTTCATCGGGTATTACGCGCTACTTTTTAGTGCATTACAAACTAATATAATAGCCAATCGATTATATTTACAAAAATTGTTTTAATAAAGACTTGAGTTAAGTCTAAATTATTTTTTTTCGGGCTATACTTAATTATTTTTCATTCACACCGCGAAATATATTTTAGTTAATTATGAATTATTTTTTAACCGCTAATTGCACTTAAAGTAATTATTTGCGTTAGTGCAGAGAATTATTTTTCGCAGTATCATCAATTTGTTTTCGTCATGTAGCGAATGAATCTATGGTCCTACAATGCATTGCGGGCTCTCGATTGCGCGGCATGGGCTCGAGTGTTTTCCTGCTTAGTTTTTGGTCTGCACCATGTTTGCACGTATGGCAGTAAATCTTCCACTCGGCACCCAGCGTTCTGGTGAAACCCAAAATGGCCACAGGGGCTAAAATAAATGGAAGCATTTTGCTTAAAGAGAATTGCCTCTTCAGGAGCTGTTTATGTGTGTTTACTTGTTGAAGATGACCCTTATGAGATGGAAAGTGGTATTCAATCAGTTGGTCAGTCAGAAAAACAGATATCAATCCGTCTGTCGGTTGTCTGCTCGTTTGCTCACACATTCAGTCAGTCAGTGAGACGCTCAGTGAGTCAGACAGTCAGTCAGTCGTTCTGGAAATTGGTGATCTAATTTGATCAGTAATTTCGCTTGTCAGTCAGTTGGTCAGCAGGATCAATAATCAGCGAGCCAGCACGGAAGTCACTCGGCTAGAGTGACTTTTTGAAAAAAAGAAACGATCAGTCAATTGAGGTTATGAGAATACAAGAAATGATCAACCACCAAGAATCTCTAAAATTTTAGACAAATTCTCGTTGTGAACACCATAGGAAATGTACCGAGAACAGTATGGAGAATATGCATACTGATGCTAGGGTGTAAAGTGTTAACTGATCTGCGAAACATGAAAAATCCAGGTGCACTGCGATCAATCACTGACTTCTCAGGTGCACTGCGTTCAATCACTGACTTCTTATTTGATCGCCAGGGTCGTTTTCAGTCATTACTTTCAGGACACTCTTAAACTGCTTGGGGTACCGATCTGCCTTCTCCAACCTTTGGCACAACTATGTGTGCGCATGAGCAGAATACGCTCTTCCGCGAAACACAGCTAGACGGTACTACGCATGAGGAGACATTAGTGGCAATAAGTCATGTAAGGAAACGAAAAATGCATCCAATGTCAATACTGTTTATTTGTGCTCAAGTGGTGTCAGGAGAGATCACTATGAAACGGACATAATGGTAATCAGATTTCAGAAAATATATTTCTTTTCCACTAGGTACATGTACACTGTCTCTAATAAGAAATTATGATTCAAAATCAATAAACAAAGTGCAAGAGGATGTAAAGTTTCCTCTCCCAAGTTAATCCATTGTGCGATTTAAAAGAAAACTGATAAAATAATGAAGTCGGCGCTGCAAGAGTGCGTGAAATATAGACTAAAATCAACGCCTTCGTGCGTACGTCGCTCCAAGAGTCCATGCAGTTAGATCACTTTGACTCTCGCACAGAATTAATTTGGGAAACTGCTCGTCGTCTCACAAAACACAAGAACCAAACGTCTGTAAAAATCGATTTTAATTTACTCTCTAGGCAGAGTGATGGATACAAGAGAAGAGGTCTTGATTCTACTTGTTCTCCTTCAACCAGTCCCAGAGTTTCGTTGACTCCTGCGAAAAACAAACATACGAACAAATTATTTATTTGTTAATAAACAGACATGTGGTATTGCGTGCCTTCGCTTTAACCTCGTTGTAGGTACATGATCCACTTTCAACGGATGTATCGAGTAATATAACGCACTTTTTTTGCACGAGTGTTCTACTAGATGGTACTTTTCGTAAGTTGTCTGTGATTAAACAGGTCTAAACTCTTATGGTCTGCTGTTTTCCAGCAACCACTGAATTCATGTATACTTTAAGGATAAAGCCTGCTGTAGCATCAGAAAATAATAAGCCTAGGGGGGAGGGGGAGAATAAAAACCAAAATCAATACATATTCCCCCCTCTAAAAAATGACAAACAAACAAAAACAAACGAGTCTTGTTTGTCACAGAAAACCACTGATTAGCATCTAATTTCCACACAGTATCAATGGTGAATCAAATATCAAAGGTCATGGAAACTCTGAGTGTTAAACAAATTCTCATTGTTGGTACACCATAAGTGTGTAGAACTTACAGCCTCATCTGTGATTTTGTATGAGTGCTTCAAATAGTTCTTGAACTTTTCCACTTTCTTTGGAAGATTTGGTGTCTACAGAAAACAAATCACACCATGAATGTATAATCCAGCAATTCTATTCAAAAGACAGTTATGCCAAAAACAAAACGTCACTTTTCAAAAACACTGTAATGTAATGTAAGGTATTTGCTAAGGTAGGGAATCCAATAGACAATACACAATATAATGTGTATTGCTAGAATTCTGAAACTTATAAAACCTCTAAACTTGTGACTTCTCCCATCATATCCATACTGTATCCAGTGAACAGGGAATGGGAATGCTTAAACTTATTGCATCAGGTAGAAGTTATGATCTTGATCTGACAAAAAATTCTTTTAACTAATTTACATGGAAATATGTTAGTGGCTACAGGGGAGAATTTACAATCAGATCTTGGAAGTTAAAGGGTTAATAAAATAAAATGGTCATTTAACTCATCTCTAACTCATTACCTACATGCACAAAGTTTTCAATACCAAGTTCGGAAATTTATAAAGAAGCTGATTGAGTAACTATCTATCTATCTAACTATCTAGAACACAAAAAAGTGTTCTAGAGAAAACTATTTTATTTGTGTGAAAGACAAACAATGCACTTCACACTAAAAGACTTGATACACCCCATGATTACAAAACTTCCTTACCTTGAGTAACTTCTCTTTAATTTTGTCCATAGATAGCTAAGGAAACGCACAATAGTTTTATCAGAAAGTGATGTTAAGTCACCTTTGAAAATGTCTCATTCCTATCAAAAAATTATCTGATGGACTGGAAAAGTAATTCTCTCTCAGTTTCAGGCCTTGCCCTACTCTAACATGTCTCTTCTTGAGCTAATTAAATAAAAAGATGAGATTGTGCTCTATGTAATTTTTTTTCTTTTTTTTTTTGGTGGGGGGGGGGGGGGGGGGGGGGAAAAGAGAGTCATGGCTACCCTGTAAATTTTTTTCCTATATGCAAAAATCAGTAACCAGACACTCTTGGTTTTCAATCTTAATGATTTAATGTACGTGTACAACTGTATGTTTGAAGAAGATACCAAAATAAATCAACTGTCTCAATACTCCACTTTGTAATTCCTTCAATTTGTTTCAAATACAAATTTTTCTAAAAATTTGGGTTGCCAAACTAGAAGTGTGGCTTATCTTCAAGTGCCCCTTAGATGCAGGTGTTTATGGTAGTTTCTTAAGGCCTTTATAACGATGGAACATACCACTTCAGGAGTTTTAGCTCCAGCCTTCTTCCCCTGATCTTTTTTCCCATCAGTTTTTGGTGTACTGGGCTATCATTGAAAGAGGACAGAACAGATTAGCATAGCTGATTAAAGTACCTCCGTGCAGACAGGTAAAGACTTAAAATATTTTATACACCTATAGACTACAGAAATTATAACTACAATGGTTTCAAATGAACACAATTTCGAAGCAAGAGGTTGCAGTTGAACAGTATAATTATGTAAATGAAACCACTCATAACAAAATCTTTGCAACAGTAACACAGGCCGTAACTGAATGGTTTTTCAAGAATTTTTCACACTTGCTTAATATGTATTAGTGCTATGCAGTGTGTAATGGTACCATGATATCATGTAGAAAGGTGATCTAAAAAACATCCACCATGTTCTGGACAGACCAAGAAAGGCCAACTCCTGAAGTTGTAATTTGAACACAAACCTGTTGAGCTGGAATCTTGTTTTGCTTTTCTGTTTTATCCTTTTTGTCTCCTTTAGCAACTCCCTACAAAGGCAAATACCAATAAATAACATTTTGAACAAAATGAAGGCCTGCATCTCACATGACTACATGTTTGACATGTGCACAATTAAGGTAATTGAAGCTTCTACATCTACTCTCTTATTTAAAAAGAATTATAAAAGAACATTTTGTATTTTAACTTACATTTGTCATTGGTGGCTTTTTATTTGCTTTCCCTTCCATCTGTGATTGAAACAGTTATCATCAAAAAAGAAAAAGAAACCGTTACTTGTCAGACCAGTGGTAAGACTAAATTTTGGCCATAACTTCAGACAAACTTGTATGCATGTAGAGTGTTTCAATAAATATTTCCATAGGAGGCTGCCCCTGGTGTACAAAATGCCAAACATGAGAACCTGGTTGTAAGCCAAAGAGAGGGTGATGGGAGGTCTTACTGGAGGTCTTACTGGAGATCATAGCCTGAAGGTGACTGGCTTTTATTGAGACCACTGACAGTTTGCAGATTTGAATTACAAATAAACTTTATTGTGTGCTGGAAAGGAAAACTGAAAGATCCAATGGGATCAAAAAGGGAAAACTCCAACCTTTTTCTTTGCTGCTAAGCTGACAGCAATCTCATCTTCTTCATCACTTTCATCGTCATCATCTTCATCGTCATCCTCACCAGATTCATCTTCTTCGTCATAATCATCATCATCATCATCATCATCGTCACTGTCCTCTTCACTCTCCTCTTCATCCTCCTCACTTGTGCTCTTCACTGGTTTGGCATCTTTACCTTCTGGTTTGTTTTTCTGCAAAAGAATTTTCATACTTCCTGGGTGTTGCTTGGCACAAAATAATCTGTTTCAAAGTATTTCTCTTTAGTCTTAGTATAATAGCTCCATCATAATTGTGTAATTTCTTGGA